CTCTCTCTCTCTCTCTCTCTCTCTCTCTCTCAGCACATTGGTACTTACACAAGCTTCAACAACCATAAGCATGCGCATCTCTCCAAGAGAAGGTGTCCAAACACATCCGCTTTGTGCAATTTTCCCTCTTGTGCTTGACCATGATGTACTACACAGAGAGGATACCATACGTTTCTAGGGACACCTGCTTCGAGCCTTTTTTTTCTCTCCTTCAGCCTGTGTATGGTATGCTATATACACATGACCATATGTCCCCACGTGTGCTGTGTACAGAGTTGTGACCTCTATAGAACTGGCTGCCACTCTTTGCCGATATATATTTGCCTTTATTCTATTCCCTCAAGGGTCTAACTTTGAAGAGTGATAAAGAGAAGGTATCTATGATATGTTCTGCTGAAGTGTTTCCGTCTGTCTATCCGTCTGTCCGTCCGTCCGTTTTAATCTGGCATGTACTCCCATACACGACTATGTCACAATGCCTGTACCCTGCCACCTCATTACTCACTCGTAACTTGCTTTTGCTCTCTCATGGCTAACTGACACAAGGTGGATTTGAAAGCGCTTAGTAAGAAAGAGTTAGAAGATCATCGAAGGGTAAGACCATCTCTCCTCTCATTTTATACATGTAAAAGTGACGCATGCTGCTATCCATGTTTTGTCTCTGTTTCTCTAAATTTGGTCAATTTGATTTTTTTTGTTGCTGTCATGGCATTTTTCTCTGTACTATTTTCATGTTGTTATACTGGTCCTCAATGGATAGTTTATTACTTTCTGTTTTGATGGTTGGTTATGTGTTGTCTCCTTTGTGTTTTACACTGTTGTTCATGGATCCTTGAACATGTTGTAGTTTGGTGTAGTCAATCTGTAGAAAATTGGTTTTGGACTTGCAGGTGTCAAGTTTAGTGTGTCAGTGTCTGTCAGAGTTTAAGTATTTTTACCAAATTAATTATGGTTAAGACTCAGAACTGTTCAGTGAGGGGTTTTCTTTGTTTACAAGTTTTTGAGTGTAGGTAGCTGTCATCAGCAGCCGATTTCTGTCCAGTCTTGAGTTGACTAGATTTGTAACAGACTGACTTTAGTAAGAAGTAGGCCAAATATTAAGAATACATTTGAAAAGGACATGTGGCTGCTTGCTATGAAAGGGATGATGCTACATTTCTATGAAGATAAAATGGTCGTGTTCTAAAAATCAAGTGTCCTGTGAGCTGAGGGTCTTCCAGTCAGCTACCCCCTGAGTTCTAAGTAGGGGTATGCGGAAGGAGAAGTAGTATTTGTAACACACTACATCTTTATTGCTTTTGAGAAAATACTCCTTCATTAGTTTATCTCCAGCCCCAACTCCACAAAAAAAAGAATGGGCTAGAATATGCGTCTGTATATATTTGTGAATACGCATGTTTGTGTGCTTGGGATAGGGGGGAGACCGGGTAAGCAAGGGAAAATATTGGTGATTGAGAGGTGGTAGATTGTAGAACTATCATTTCACTGAATAGGTGTTGGTCTTATTGTTGGGAACTGAAGGGCCTGGTCCTTCCTTTGCATCACAACATGAGGTTTTTGGGAGCAAAAAGTCTTACAAAATTGTATTGTTTGTTTCCTTTGTCTTGAGGATGGAGTTGTCTGCTGCTGATTCAATTCTTTCATTGTTTATGCTACCTTTATTTTTATCCATTCTTTACTCATTTGTTTATTGTAACGCTTCATTCCATACTTCCACACACAGAAAAACACACACACGCACACACAGATTTACACACACACAGGCACACATACACATACACACGAGATCCTGCTTGCAGACATAATATCAGTCGAAACAATCAGTCATCTTCACATTCACATTCACACACTTGCACTCAAGTTCAAACATGTAACACTACGCTGCAGTCATGAAGTTCACTTCCAGACTCCCTTTCTGACTGTAGTACATGTATTTCCCTATTATCCTGGGCTTTGCCAACTACTGGTTTCCATCTTCACCGGACTCCTTAATACTTTCCCCAGAAAAAGTGAAGTAAAGGCTACTGCTCGCTACTTACCATACTCGTCACACTTTCTTTGAATAATTGTGAAATACATCTCAGTGCCGGCTACAAAATATGAACAGGATTTTGTATTACGGTGTAATTCTTCACCTCATTTCTCTATCCTGACCCTAACTTTCACAGGGCTAGAAGGACTTGACAGTGATATGGGTCAATGAATTCAAAAAGACTTGAAAAAAGAAGACATTAGTTTGGAAAAAAGAAAGTAAAGGTACCTGTAGACTAGATATCTGCAATCTGCAAGCTTGGATTTTTAGAAAAAGTTGTATTTTTGATTGAGTCTTTTTGTGGTTTTTATTGCCCAAGTGTGGACAAGACGATTGATTGGTATATGGGAGAGAGATGATTAAAGGAATTTATAGGATTAAGAATGCTAGTTTGCTTTCATGCATGTGTAGAACTAGTTCGATGTTGTATGAGCTTTCTCGTTATATAAGAATTTTTGTTCATGAACTAATATTGTGTAGCAATTTTAGTTTCTTGAATAATTGTTTGGTTCACTGTCTTGTTTATCGTTAAGCATTGCGCAGTATCATGATGTAACCTGAATTTTAGTCTATGTTGCTTGTCATAGCAGACCAGTAAAATGCTTCAAGCAATTCCTGACTAATAACATATTGACGCTGGTCCTGCAGTCCAGACAGGCAAAATAACTTCATATTTATTGGACTGGCTTTGCAAGGCACAGATCACTGTTATCTCAAGTGGTTTGGTGAAAAATAGAGTAGGGAGCAGTGGCAAGATAGTCTCATGTTGTGCCTTGTGGGAGGGATGCTCAGCGGGTAGATTTGTCTGTTAGATTGTATTTGAAATAGATGTTGCCTACCATTACACAGATATATGAGAAGTCACTCTTCTTTTGCTATGTATTATTCTATTTTGTTTTCTCGAATAGCTCAAGTCATAAGTTTCCGACCTTCTATTCCTTGGGAATGTATAGAGAAAGAATACTTCTTGTTATATTTTCCTCTCATTTGATCTTAGCCTGTCGTCTTGTATTTGTCTTTTCTCTATTTGTATAGCTTACTCTGTATTGTAGACTGACTTTACTTTGCATACCCTCTTGTTTGTCATTTCACTCTTCCCAGCCAGCATGCAGAGTATTTTAAATCTCGTATATGTCTTAAAGGCCTAGATCTCCAGTGATCACAGTCAGTGTGTATCAGTACTCACTATAATTTGAATTTCCCAGCTTTTTTTTATTACCTACTGTCTTACTGGAGAAGGGGTTATTTTTGGTGTATGAGTGGATATGTGAGTTTTTGTTTTGTTTGTTTTTAGGGGGGAGGAGTGTTGGCGGTAATGTTTTTGTTGAGGAACCACTTTTGCTGCCGATGATAGGTGGCTCTACCTCAAAACCTCTGCTGTTTGCAAGATCAAGGATGCTATCTGCCTTTAAGATTTCAAGAATTTGACCTATCCGCTTCCTAAATTTTTGGAGGGATGAAATTTGATTTCTTTGCCCTCTTTTATTGTTGTAGTAATCTGTGATTGTGCAGATACTGGTTTCTTGAGGTTTGTCCTCCTCCTAGTTTTGAGAAGCCTTGTCTGTTTTTGGGGGTTTTTTCTAGTTCGTAATTGGATGTAATTTCTGTTGTTTGGAGAAATTGTTATTCCATGTTTTATTTTTGAACTACTTTTTTCTGCTGTTGTTACCAATTTTTTTATATTCTGTCACTGCTATAGACTGTGAGATTGTTATGGGCTTGTGCAGTAGCAGGCCTTCTGACTGCTCGTTGATGAATTGTTTAGGAGTGGATATTGGGTTGTTTTGTGTGCATAGTCTAGATCAAGTCAGCAGTGTCTGCCACATCTACACAGAGAGTGGGTAGTTGGGGGGTTGTCTGGTGTGGTTTGCTCCTTCTTTTCTATCAAACATCTATCGTTCTTTTCTCTCCTCCTTTTTTGTTGTTGTTACTCTCTTGTAACACCTCTAATAGTTAGCTCTTATACGGCCTATTGTGTTGCAAAATTCTTACTAAAACTAAACTAAAATCTGCACAGAGGTCATTTTGTCCGCATTTCCAGGTGCTAATTTGTGCTACCACAACGCTACTTGGGACTTATTACGACTTTGGACACACGTTGTCTCATGGGCTCACTTTCTTTACTCCTTTGCTTTACTCTTCTACTTACCGTACACACACTTCAGTGTGCAGTGATGTAAATCTAGCAATCATCCCTGGGGAGTTCAGGTTCACAGGTCTTATAGGCTCAGGAGGGCCAGGACGCAAACTTTACTTTTTTCTTCCGCTTGTACCGGGGGGGGGGGGTCGCAGGGAGACGCAAGCGTCTGTCTGCAGCAAGGCGAGTGGCTTGTAGGAGGGACATCCCATGAGCTCTCACAGATTCACTCGATCGCCCCCCTGGTCTTCTTCTGGCTCTCCATCCAGAATATTTTATGTTGTATGCTCTCAGAGCTGGATGGTTTGAGGGCATCCGCGTGAGGTGTCCGAACAGGACGCAAAGGATTGAAATAAAAGGCTTACAAGGACTTGTTGGTCATTTTAGTTTCATAAGTGTCATTTGTAGTTATGGAGATAATTTGGAATTGTAGAACATTTTAAATTATGCTTATAAACATTTGGTTTTTTTCAAGCATTCTGTATAGACTAGTGCTGTTGTAATACTAATGTTTTTTTAATACAGTATTATTATGCAAGGCTTTTCATAGTAGAATTAGTTGCCTCTTGCTTTACATTAGAATTACCCATGCATGTTTGGGTATGACTACTACTGACCCTCATAGCTCCCTGTAGATGTTGTTTTAGTATTTTAATGCTTGATAGAGTAGGGTTTGTATTATTTTGTTTACTTACAAGACTAAAAGAAAATACCAGAGGTTCGTGAGGATTTGAATTATGAATGGGTGATGATTGCGGAAGGTTAGAGCGTGTCACTGGTAGGCCATACTTTCCCCCTCTTGTTTCTTTCTGTCTGTCTGACTTTTTCCCTGCACCAAATGACCATTATTGTGTTGATGTGCTTCTCTGTACTCACACAAAACAGACCACTGATGGTAGTGTTAATCCTAAGCATGTGTAGACGGTTTCAGTAGCTTTCTGGAGAAAACTGATGGTATGATATATAAATGTTGCCTTCATACAAAACACTGTGATGATTTGAAACTTGTCATGTGGAGTATCGGGCATTAAGCTTTCCAGTTTTTTCTTGTGGCTTTTTGTAGGATATGGAGGGTTATGTTTATAGAATATAATTATGTTTGGCTCTCAGCTCTGTCTTTTTCTCTGTGCGTGTGGTGTCTGTAAGAGTGTTGACATGGTGTTTGTAGTTAGTTTTTATGCTTGTAGTGTATTGTTCTTCAATAACAGTCTTCTTAAGGTCTGCTCATGATCTGGTTTATGTGCTTTTGCACTTAACCATCATTTCATGCTGGACGACACTGTATCTAAGGATAAATTTCAGTATAAGGCTCTCGTGAATTGTTTTAGGACTTTTTAATTCATAGCTCTCACCCAGTTGGCTCAGTCCCATCAGAGGATGCTTAAATTCAAGGTCTGACCTCTTGCATAACAGTATTTTGTGAGGAATATTATATTTGTGACACAAATTACAGACTTTTCTGTTTCCCTGAGATCTTTTGCGGGAGAGAAAAAGTCTAGATAAATGACATGAAATGATTAGAAAATGAAATTTTGTTTGTCTGCTGTGTCAGGGTGCATGTGTTTGTAGATGTGCTTATATGTGGGAGTGAGTGTGAATGTGTGTCTGCATGTTTGTCTATGCTTTTTACTTCTGTGAAAAATGTTTAAAAATGTTTACTAATTTTTTTGTGCTCGTACCAGACAGAAATTCAAGAGTTTAACATCGGCCATCTGTACATAATATGCTGTTGACCTCCTTAATAGTGTTTACTATGGTTATATAGCAAAATCATATCTGTGAGTGCCAGTTATTTCGGTGTTCGTTCACTGTGTACATCTTGTCTCGATAGTTTGCATTTATTTTGGCACTGTGCCCTTTAATGATTTGTCCCTGTTATCATTTGTTCATTGTCTCTTTGTAGGTCATGAAATTCTTAAAAGTAAAAATTTTTTATAAAAGATTTATGTCTTTAAGCCATTCTCTCCTTATCAACATCATCTTTCAGTAATATGTTAGCAAAAAGCTGTGAGTGTTGTTTGACTTGAATATTCGTTCGATGTGTCTTGTCAGGGGAACTTTTGGCTTGTGGGCGATCTGGTGAGGTCGGCTCGTTTTTTTTCATCTTTTCAATGTTGCCATTATTTTGGTTGCTAAAGAATATTGTGCTGCTGACTGTCGTAAATTGCGTCTCAATTTGTTCAGACGGTTTTTAGTAGGGTACCTCCGAAAATCTTTTTTTGTTTCCTATACCTCTGTTGTTTCTATCAAGCCATTTTTTCGACTTTTTACAGAACTAAATTATATGTTACAGTTTTGGTATACATCTTTTTTTCCTCCTGAGACAGTTGTCTTCTATGGATGGTTGGCTGGTGCTCTGGTGTTGTTTGCTCCTTCTTTCCTACCAATGTCTATCGTCCTTAGTAACGCTCTTGTAACACTTTTAACCCTCTCCTTACGTCATGGTTTTCTATTGTATCCATACGACGTGGGGACCTCTGTGCCACCACTTTCAAAGAGGAAATTTACTCGTTAATCCGATCCGTACTCTTTGCATAGCAGTCTGTCAAAATGATTTTTTGAGAAACATAGAATATTTCAAAGAGATCTTCGTACTTGAAGTATTCTAAAATGTGAAGAATACAACCGGGGGGGGGGGGGTACAAAATGACCCCAGGGCGTACGGATAGGTTTAATCTTTGGCATTTTTAGGACCTTATTGTAACTATATGTGTTACAAGTGCCATAAGATTCTTACTATAACTAAAATGCCTGCCTGATGAAAGGGGCCATTGCCGAACTGGCTCACCGTGAACTCCAACACTCACCAAGGTCTGTGTATGTACAGTGTGTTTTCTGTGGTCTCCCCTCAGTGCGAGGCGCTACGTCAGAGCCTCCTGATGCGCTACTACGACCGCTCACAGCCACGCAGCCGGCGAGAGAGCCAGTCCAGTGGACCATCCAGCGGGCCAGGCTCCACCATGTTGAGTCAAGCTAACAATCTGTCCTTGCATGATGTACAGGTGAGTGCTCACTCTTTGTAAGTGTTTGGAAGGGGCTGTGGTCCTTTGGTACTTCCCCAAGATCTTACTACTTTACTTCCTTCTTTTATTTCTGACTGTCTATCTGTTGGTTTTGCTCTTTTCCAGCCCTATATGATGGTTATTTTGATTCTAATGAGAAATGTGCACTACATACCATGCAGTACTATCGTGACCACAAAAACCCCCCACCTGAAAGTACCTTTGTGTGATGTTTCTAGATGTTTATTCCCTCCATTACAGTAGGCACACCTGTAAAGTGCCCATAAACAACTGTTGGGTGATTGGTGTCTTTATCTTTGAACCTACTGTGCCAGAGCCACCTTTTTGTACAAAATCTTTTTAAAAAGATCAGTGTATGTCCTTGTACATTCACTGCATGTGTATTTATGTGGGGTTTTTTTCTAATCCTATGTCCAGTGTTTCCTGGATGACAAGGGTGCCTCCAACCTGGTGATAGATCTCATCATCAAAAATACTAGTAATAAAGTCTTCCTAGAGACTGTTGAGCTGGGCATTGCACTGCTGGAGGGAGGCAACAGCAAGATACAGGTGAGTGTCACTTGTACGTTTTCCTTACTTGGCGTCAAGCAGGAGTGAGGAGATTAAGATGTGAAAGGTGTTTTATAGTGGTATGTGTCAAAGTCTTACTGTTTGCTTGAGTTGATTTTTGTTGGCCTGCCACCTCTATCTGCCATTACCTCAATGCCTATGGATTGGAGTTGGGAAGACACCCATTATATACAAGCATGGATGCAAACTTTCTAATGGTGGATTCTCTCTCAAACAGCCATGCCCTGGTGTACACATGTATTCTTTTTTTAGTTTATAATCTCTTCTCTTTGTTTTTCTCTCGCTCTGCAACAGCTTGGCCAAATGCCCAGACTTGAAAATGAACTATTTGTATTTGAAAAAGTCGGCCATCATGTTATGACTTGTCAGCATCTTCCTGGTGAAAAGTTCAGGATACAGAGCCAAAAGAAACATCAGAGGCAACTGCAAGTTTTAAGACAGCTGAATGACCCATGTTTGTGTTTGGGTGAACAGAATTATTGGCAAGTTATGCCTTGACTTCTACTCTGTTTCTCAGAAATCTATATACCAGCGGCTGACCACAGACAAGGACGCTGACATCTTCTTCAAGGTGTTCCTTGACCGCATGCGTGACGCACAGGCTGAGATACGCAACACGGTGACAGTGAACACATCAGACACAGAGCACAGGCAGCACCGTGAGGAAGACAAGAAAAAGAAAGGTGAAGTTTACTACTGAGATTATTTAAAAGTTTTGTCACTTTTCTCGAATTTAGGAAATTTGATGTTAGAGAATTGTATTAATTATGTAGCCTCTGAACTGAAGTTTTATGAATGTTGTGTCAAAATATTTTTGAGGAAACAGTCAAAGCTTGAGGTGAAATCTGCCTCTGGCTTCTTGCCTCATGTCTGGCTAAATGTTTTGTCTCTGTGTCTCGCTACCTTTTTCAGAGTTGTTTTTAAAAAATGTGCATATAGTGACATTATGGGAGAGCATACGTTAAGTGTTTATCTGTTATTCATAGATGTAAAGTAAGGTCATTTGTCTTCTAGTATTGTTGTGAATGCATACAAATGGTGAGTCGAAGACTTGCCTGCTTTTGAATTTTTACTCTTTTGTCTAATTAACGGACAGAGTTGGTCACTCAATCTCAGCCACACATTCTGTTTCCCCTTCCCTCCAACCCAATCTCATTCATGCACATCATATTACACTTGGCTGAAATAAATGTTTTGTGCTGGAGCAAACATTCCGACAATACTGTTGCAAGTCAGTTATACAAGCACATGGTCTAACCTGCATGGGTCACAGTTGCTTGTGCTTTTGGATGGCTGCATCCCCCCAGGCCTCCCCCTGCCTTCTTTGTAGCAAGCGTTGTTACTTTTAGCGATGTGTTGACGTAATAGGACTCAGTTGTACTCTTATCTGACTTTTGATGGGTTATGTGGTATGGTCAGCCCCTCTTACTTCTTTTCACTGTTTCTGTAGTCCTAGTCTGCTCTGAGCGAAATATGGCCATTATTTTTTCTGACTTGTGAAGTACAATTCAGCTACATCTTTTTGTAGATCTTTCATGGCATTTTTTTTTCTACCAGCAAGAGGGGGTCAGATAGTAAACTACTTTGTGGAAATACAGATTTTTGACCAGGTTATGTGATGTTGGCAATATGTCTTCCCTTGTGTGGTGTGTGTGTGAGTGTGTTTGTGTGTGTTTTGGGAGGGCGGTTATAACGTGGGTGGATATGCTGATAATGTTGTGCCCAGGCTGCTCAGAGCCTTCTCTCAACACATAAATATGACCGCTTGTTCCTGTTATCTGCCAGCAAGGTATGTTATATGGGGTAATCACAGACTTCAGGAATGAAGTTCATCGGGATTTAAGTCGATGTGTGCATGGAGCTGAGTAGTGTATGTCGTCTTAAAGGTCTTAACAAGCCACAGAATGGTCACAGCATTTAGAATCAGATTGGAGCTGTGAAGTATATTTTGTCTTAAAGGTTTCAGTATAGTGAAGCACAATAAAGTGGCCACCACTTTTTCATGTATTGCACATATCTAACTTTCATTCTGTGGTAGAACATGTGTTTAGATGAGTGATGGTTTTGTGTTTTTCTTGATTACCGTTGTCAAGTTCAAACTAACATCGCACCAAGCCCAAAAAATGCTCTTCCCACACAGAGGTTTATGAGGATCTGACCCAATTTAGAACAAGCTTTTTGATAATGCTTCATTGCATGATTCCAGTGATGAAGGTAACTCTGATGAAGAAAAAAACCCCAAAAAAACTAGCAATATTTTGAAGATTTTAAGCGTTTGAATCGAAATTGCCCTGGAAATGACTGTGATTCTATCATTACCAAAGATTGTACTTTTCGTGCCATCACAAAGGTGACAGGCATGCGGAGAGACTTGTAATACATCTATGAAACTAACTTTGCCCAAAAAATTCTTCTAGCAGATGCTTAACCCTGACTATTATTTAGAAAGTGTAGAAGAAAGATTACCTGAAAGGTAATATTACCAACTCTTTAATCAGAAGTCCACACTCTTTTCTCATGCATTTGATCCAAGTTTCCAAGTTTTTAATCAAAGGTTTATCCTCATTTCCCATACATTTGATCTGAGTTGGGTTTTTTTGCATTATGCTTTTCTAGACGTAGCAGTGGCTGCTCCCGCTGCGTTTGTAGAGTGCATCTTTTCCTTTTAATGAAGGTCATTGAATTTTGTTCACGCTGGAATTGTTGATTTGTGTTGTTTTAAAACTTGGTGTCTGCAGATATTAGCTTTTAGTGGTAGATTAACTTAGACAATACTTATTCCTTGCTTCTATGAGACTTACTTTTCCTGCATACTGTCTTTTAAAAGTAACGGCGCACTCAAAAAACTTAAACTTTATATCTATCACATTTGTTTGATTTTGACTTGTGAAACGTAAGGATATTGACCTTCCTGTTTTATCCCCTTTATGTAATCATTTCATGTTCTTAGTATTGGTGTACTCTATTTTAAGTGTTTTATGTTTATATGTTTCTTTCCATAAATGCAAGCTTTGCAATTTCTTTTACTTGAATATTGGCTGTTAAAAGCAGCTTTTTTTCCATGCATTATTTTGAATGTGCATGAGTTTGTATCAGTCTTTCGTTCTTTGATGGTAAAATCTGTTGGTTTTTTTTGTTTTTGAAAGTGTAGCAGTCATAAAGGTTATCTTTCAAGTCCCAGGCTGGGTGTTTTTTAAACTCAGAATTCGGAGATCCTGCCTCTTAAATAACCTAATAGTATTGATAGGGGCATTAAAATTGATGAATCAATAGCAAGTTAGATGTAATGTATATCATGTTGGTCATTGTGGGCATATAAGCTTACAGCACCAAATATCTTCTCACATAGAATTGGCTTTTTCAAAGTTTGATCATTTGTCTCTAAGGCTACAGATTTGTGTGTTCATCGGATGCTCATGAATTAGCAATCTTTGTTTGAGTCTTGAACGACTGACATTGTAGCCCTCTAAATGGACTCAAAATCGTAGACTGTGCCTGGAATTTGATGTGGTGGGGCCAAGATGCTGCGTCATTATTGGATTGGAAAGGGGGCTCAGTTAACAGCCGAAGACTTACACATGGGTGCTAGGTGCTACTGGGGTCCTAGGAGCTTTATGTCGAGCTGTGTTCAATTCAGTTGCTTCTGTGTTCTGCATTGGTGTTTGTATGCGTGTGGTTTTTGTTCGTTGTATCACTGAGCAGCCATGTGCGTGGCCCGTCCACAGATTCAATGAGCTCGCTAGACAACCATCCCCTGCTCTCAGGGCGGATGGCAGAAGGTAAGGCCAGCTCACACTCATACTGTAGCACTAACACTGCTTGGCTGCCTGACCACACCGCTCACCATAGTGCATACGTGGCTACTTAGATCAGCTGCCTCCTCCTCCTCCTCCTCCTCCTCCTCCTCCTCCTCCTCCTTTGGTTGTCCATAATCTTCTTTGGTTGCCTAAACATCTCTTGGGTGGTTGAAGGGTGCCATTGGTAGAATAATATTATTATACTTCTTAACTTTCTGTCTGTAGGTCTGTCTCTCTTGCTGTCTCCTAACATTTAGTGACCATTTGTGTGTGTGTCTCTCTCTCTCTCTATATCTCTCTCTCTCTCTCTCTCTCTCTCTCTCTCTCTCTCTCTCTCTCTCTCT